GGGGGACATGGAGGGACATGGGGACATGGGGACATGGGGACATGGAGGATGTGGAGGGACATGGGAACATGGGGACATGGAGGGACATGGGGACATGGGGACATGGGGGGACATGGGGACATGGGGGGACATGGGGACATGGAGGGACATGGAGGGACATGGAGGGACATGGGGACATGGGGACATGGGGACATGGGGACATGGGGACATGGGGACACGGGGCCGTGGTGGCGTGTGTCACCGCTGGTGTCCCCGTGTCCCACAGGAGGTTCTACAAGGACATGCCCCAGAACGCGCTGGACAAGAAATCCAACTTTGAGTTCCTGGAGTGAGTCTGGCCCCGGAGACGCTGCCCTGTCCCCGCGGGGAGCGGCTGAGGGCCTTCCTCACCCTCCTCATCCTCCTCATCTTCATCATCCTCCTCATCCTCCCCATCCTCCTCATCCTCCCCATCCTCCTCATCCTCCTCATCTTCATCATCCTCCTCATCTTCCTCACCCTCCTCATCCTCCTCATCTTCATCATCCTCCTCATCCTCCCCATCCTCCTCATCCTCCTCATCTTCATCATCCTCCTCATCCTCCCCATCCTCCTCATCCTCCTCTTCTTCATCCTCCTGCTACTCCTCACCCTCCTCATCCTCGTCATCTTCATCATTCTCCCCATCCTCCTCAGCCTCCTCCTCCTCCTTCTGCTACTTGTCATCCTCCTCATCCTCCTCATTTTCATCATTGTCCTCATCTTCATCATGAGTCTCATCATCCTCATTCTCCTCTTCCTCCTCCTCCTCGTCCTCCTCATCCTCATCATCATCCTTATACTCCTCATTCTCATCTTCATCATCCTCCTCATTCTCCTCATCCTCATCCTCATCATCCTGTTCATCCTCCTCATTCTCCTCATCCTTGTCATCCTCCTCATCCTTCTCATCCTCCTCATCGTCCTCTTCTTCATCGTCCTCATCATCCTCATCCTTCCTCATCCCCTCATCCTCCTCATCCTCCCTCAGCTCCTTATCCTTCTCATTCTCCTGTGGCTCCTCATCTTCCTCATCCTCAGCTCCTCATCCTCCTCATCTTCCCACATCTCCAAATTCTCCCACATCTTCTCATCCTCCCGTACCTCCTCATCCTCCCACGTTCTCATCTTCCTCATCCTCCTGCTGCTCCTCATCCTCCTCATCCTCCTGCTGCCCCTCATCTTCCTCACCCTCCCTCACCTCCTCCTCCTCCCCATCCTTGGAGATGGAGACGGGAACCCTCCACCGCCTTTGCCCCAGCCTGGATTCCCCGTCACCCTCACCCCTCCCGTCGGAATTCCCGCTGACATTCCCGGGAATTCCCGCTGACATTCCTGGGAATTCCCGCTGACGTTCCCGGGATTTCTGCCCCGCAGGAAGGAGGTGGGGCTGGACCTGTTCTTCCCCAGCCAGATGCAGGAGAACCTGAAGGTGAGGGACACGTGGGCGTGTGTCCATCCTGGTGTTCCTCTATCCAATGCCCCATTCCCGTATCCACTGCCGTTTCCATCCCGGCGTTCCCGTATCCAATGCCCCATTCCCGTATCCAATGTCACGTCCATCCCGAAATTCCATCCCTCGCACCGCCCCCATCCCGGTGTTCCTGAACCCAACACCATGTCCATTCCTCTGTTCCCAAATCCAATGCCCCATTTCCGTATCCAATGTCACATCCATCCCGGCGTTCCATCCCTCACACCGCCCCCATCCCGGTGCTCCCAAACCCAACACCATGTCCATCCCGGTGTTCCTCTATCCAATGCCCCATTCCCGTATCCAACGCCGTGTCCATCCCGGTGTTCCTCTATCCAATGCCCCATTCCCGTATCCAACGCCGTGTCCATCCCGGTATTCCTAAATCCAATGCCCCATTCCCGTATCCAACGCCGTGTCCATCCCGGTATTCCTAAATCCAATGCCCCATTCCCGTATCCA